CCATAGCTTTCTCTGGGTCTTAGGATCCCTTCTGTTAAATAGGAGACTGGCTGGTTCCTTGGAAGGGTTGCATCCGAGCAGGGACAGCAGACATGACAGTCAGCTAACCTGGTGTATGAGGAGCCTTGGAGGGGGAGACGCCTCCCCAGCTCTTTCTGGTCCCCTAAGCCCTGCAGGTGCTGCCCTGCCTGTGACGGTCACCTCAGCCTAGCTCAGAGGCCCTCAGCTGTTATGCCAAGCAGTCTCAGCTATGATGCACTCTTGTCCCTAGCAAGTGACATTTGAATTAAAGGGAAATCACCACAATGGCTCCTGCTTCTTCTTTTTTTTTTTTTTTTTTTTTTTGCCAAAACCCAGGAGAGCCTCACATGGGGCAGATACATTGCAGCCTTGCCCTGAGACCCTGTAGGAAACATGGCTGTACCTGGCAAGTCTGTATAGCATAAGGAGTGTGTAAAAAATGCCCAAAGCCAGTGCTGTAAGTAATTTAGAATCCAAAGCAAAAACAGACAGGAAGTCCGGTGTTAGCATTTTACAGGACAGGTTTGGAGACACAGCTTGCCCTAAATCCTGGGTGACTTGTCACAGCAGAGGCCAGCTGGCCCTTGGCACTTGTTCTGCTCCACAGAAGCCCAAGCCGGGATGGAGGGTGCAGCTATGACGACACATGTCGGGCTCTATCCCAGGCTGTCCCTGCAGCCAGCTAGGAGGTCCTCGGGTGTCAGGCCCTTCCAGCAGTAACCCCAAAGGCCGAAAGTGAGCGCGCTGGGCACAGCAAACCAGTCTGAGTCTGGTGGTTCCCTCAGGCCTGGTGTGGGCTCCTTCAGTGCAAACAAGAGGGTCTGTCATAGGGAAGGGTTTCCCGCAGCCCCGCCCCTTCTGTCCCAAAGCAGCAGCTCAGGTGGGAGTCATGGTTCAGCTGTCTCCAGCCCCTCCCCAACCCCAGCCCTGTTCCCCTTTTCAGGCCTTGGTCACAGCTCAGGTGACCCACAGCTCAGAGTAACACCTGCACACACACACACACACACACACACACACACACACACACACGATCCCAGCTCTGTTCTGTCACCACTTCCCGCCAAACTGAAACTTTGCCAGTGGGGGTTGAACCTAGGCCCTTTTGCACTGAGAAGCAGGCCTGGCCCTTACTTCTGAGACTGGGTCTTGGTAGCAGCTGGGCTGGGCTCAGCCCCCCAGAGCGCTGGAATCACAGGTGTGCACCCCCCCAGGTCTGGCTTAGAGTGAAATTTCTTGATCTTCACGCCCTGGTCTGCAAACCTTCACCCCACATCCCCAGCTACTGCCAACAGGGCTCTTGACCTCTGTGGCCAGCCATACCCTCGCTGGTCACTGTCACCCTCCAGGGAGGACGCTATCCTTGCAGCCTCAACCCCATCTCCTGGCCCCTGCAGGGGGCAGGGCTCTGTGCTGCATCCTCTCCACTCCTCCCTTGAGACTGTTCCTAGTCTGTGTTTCTGAGCCACTGTGCAAGGACAGCCTGCCTGGTCGCTACTGTGTGGCTGGGTGACCTGAACCTATGTCCCAAACAGCCTTGGCTGCCCCCAGCACACCCTGGGCCCTGCAGATCCCAACTCCTGGCGGTCACACACACACCCTCGCTCCACCCCCCCCCCATCATGTGGCTGTAGCTGCCGACCCTCAGTGGTCTGCATCCCGCTGCTCGCCTCTGCCAACCCTGGTGTGGGTGCTGTCAGGCCAGTGCTCAGGAGCCCAGAGTCCCCACTCAGAACCTTCTCACCCACTCACACAGTGAGACCTCAGCACCCTTGCCTGACGCAGGGTTCCCATGCCTCCCCAGGTCCCTAGCACCACGGGCCCAGGTGTTTGGGGTGGGGGCTTGGCCCAGATCAGCTGCTGACCTGGAGAGCCATGCTCCAGCCTGCCCAGTGTCCCTGATAAAAACTATACAGTGGCCATCAGGGTTTCCTGCGGGTGACCCTGCTTCCCCACTGCAGACATGGGCTGCTCTGTGCCTCCACAGTGCCAGGACAAGGGATGGAGCTGTTCACATCCAGCCCTTGCCGTGGAGCTTCCCCTCTGTGTGTTGGTCACTGCTGTCCCTGGGACCTGCCCATCCCAGGTTCTGGTTGGGTGGATGGACGAAGCTCCTGCTGTCTGTCTATACAGTGACCTGTGCAGGACTGGAGAGCCCAGCCCCGTTTGGTTGGCTGAGCCCCCAGTCTGGCTGAGCCACACAGCCTTCCACTCAGACTTACTTGCCTGACACCCCCACAGCCTCAGCCCTGTCACCTCTCCCAACTGTTACCTGGCCACGCCTGCCACCCCAGATCCCCAGCCACACCAGCGGTGGACCTGGGTCGGGTGTGGAGGAGGACAGTGCTGCTGGGCAGCTCCCTGCCAAGGAGCTGTCCTTCCCCCTAGATCCCCAGGCGTCCGCCCAAGGGGCTGGAGGGGCCGTAGCAGTTCTGGTATCCCCTGTACCTTAGTTCCAGGCTCCCCTAGGCTTCCTTCGCTGCCACATCCCCATTCACATAGTCGGGCTCATCCTCATCCTCATCCGGGCTCCCCGCTGCTCTGAGTACTTGTTCTACAGACCAGGGGGCAGGTGTGTGTGGGGCGTTCCACACTGCCCCTTGTTGCTCCCCAGCTGTCCCAGCTCAGAGCCCAGACGCCACAGCAGTCCTGAGGATGTCACACTGCAGGGATTCTGTGGTTGGTCAGTCCGTTGGTCTGTCTATCTGTCCGTCCATGGAATTTGCCAGAGATAGCCCTGCTCAGGGAACTGAGGTGGTGCTGCCAAGGGGAGTGCTGGTGGAGCTTGGAACATGCACAGCCTCAGGGGCACTGGAGGCCACGCTGTGGGTCAGCTGGACTGGGGGAGGGGAGCTCCCCCACCCATCCCCCTGCCACCTACCCTGGGTCCGCATGGATGCCTGCCACTGGTGGATGGATGCTGAGTTCTGATAGTCCTCAGAGTCCTCCCTGTCTGCAGGATAAGGACAGGCTGAAGGAAAGTGGCCACTGGCCAGGCCTCAGGACCACAAGGCCCCCAGCACCAGGTCCCGGGCAGTGCACCATCTCTGGGACACTGACTGGGCAACACTTTGCTAAGAGGCCCAAATACCAGGGCCCTCAGGTCCCAAGGCAGGAAAGGCTCCAGCTAAGGAGCTTCAGTGCAGAAGCCCAGGTGCCCAGGGAGAAGACCCGTGCCTTTCCAGCCCAGCCTGCAGGATCGAAGCTTACCTGGCTCCGCGTTCCTGATCTGGGGCTGGCAAGTGAGCACGTTCTCATAGGAGTTGGTGTCGTCCTCATCTGTGAGTGAGGCGGGCAAGTAGCAGAGCTCGGCCTGCCTGCCCATGGCCTCCTGCCCTTTGCAGGGCACCCGCCCCGCCCCGCCCAGTGCTCTGGCTTTCCCCTACTGGAGTTCTCCTTTCCTGGTCTCCTTCGCTCTTCTGTGACACTGGAGGTTGAACCCAGTGGTTCACACTGGGCTACATCCCCAGCATCCCTTTTTATTTTTCATTCTGAGATAGGGTCTCATGAGGCACTGAGTTCCCCAGGCTGGGCCTGGACCTCAGGTCCTCCTGCTTCAGCCTCCCGAGCGCTGGGATGACAGATGTGCACCATGCCAGTGCCAGAATTATGGGATCCTCTCTTTGGGAAGCAAAGGTGTTAAGAGCCAAAGGCCCAGCATCCAGCCCAGCCCGGATGACCAGGGTCTCGGGACCCTGCCTGCCAACCAAGCACACCTGGCCCCTCCTCTGTCTCACCTTCCGGGGGCTTCCGGGACCACATCCAGTGGTAATAGTCTGTGGTGATGGGGTCTCTGGCCAAAGAAACAGACACAGGCTGGTAGGTTGGCGGCGTCAGGGGGGACTGTGAGGGGCCAGCATGATTGGGGCAGCTGTCATACACCCAAGGGGGGCTCTACCCTCTAGCCTCCCCATCACCCAAGTGACCTGGGACAATGTGCCCATGTGTGAGGACACTCTGCCCTCTAGCCTCCCCATCACCCAAGTGACCTGGGACAAATGTGCCCATGTGTGAGGACACAGAGGCGGGCAGTACAGGTACAGACCCCCAAGGACGTCCCTCTATCCCGCACAGCCCAGCCCTGAGGCAAAGTAGTGCTGCTGGTGGGGGAATGGGACTCAGAGATGACACACGAGGTAGCTGAGGTGGGGTGGGCAGGGCGGGGCTGGGTGCCACTCACATGTAGGCATCAGACTCTGGTCTGCTCCCTGGAGGAGGCGGCTACAGTTAGGCCCAAGCTGGGCAGCAGCCCCCTCCACCCCTTGTAGCCCCCTCACCTTTGCTGAAGTTCTGGTACCTGGGAGACCCGGATTCTGGAAGAAAGGCCAGGTGTGGTCCCCTCCTCCTCCCTACAGGCCACCCCACCGTCCCAGCCCCGCCCAGTCTCAGGCACTCACCCTCAAGCAGGGTGGAGAAGCGCAGCAGCTTGTCCTTCCTGTGGGTGGGGAAGGGTTTCAGGCAATGGCCACTGGAGCTTTGGGAACCAGGGAGGGGTCAGGTACAGCCCAGGCTCAGCCCCATGGGAACCCCAGGCTATGGCACCCCTCACTCAGAGTGATAGGGACCATTCCTACCCTGTGGGGGCCGTGTTGGAGGCTGCATCCATCTGGGGTCCTGGTGATGCCTGCCTAACTGCTGCAAGGGGAAAGAGGTGTGGGTGGGCCTGGGCTACCCACACACACCAGGCGTGGCCATGGGGACAGAAAGGATCTTTCTCATTTGTTTTTTGTGGTCCTTGGGATTGAACCCAGGGCCTTCACACTGAGCTCCAGCCCCAGCATTTAAGTGGTTTTTTGTTTTTTTTTTAATTTTGAGGCAGCATCTCACGAAGTTCCCAAGTTGCCCAGGCTGGGATGAGGCTTGCTACCCTCCTGTCTCAGCTTCCCAGAGTACTGGGGTGACACTGCCACACCTGGCTCCTGATGTGAGCCCTGCCCTGAGCCCCATCCGAGCGCCTGGGGACTCACAGGAATAGGTCCGAGCAGCCACTGAGAAGCTCTGCTGATTCGCTTGCCTGGAATACACAGGAGGCCGAGCTGAGTGGGGCTTGGCCCCCGCAGCCCAGGGACACAGGGACAGGAGAGACACGGACAAGTAGGGACAAGGGTCAGGGAGCGGAGAGTAATTGTAGGGACAGGCTGTCACCTTAGAGCCTCAGACCCAGGGTCCCCACTCCATCCCGGCACCACCAGCTGACACCCTCTACATGTCCCTGGGCCATGGCCAGGCCACCCCCTGGCTGCACCCCAGCCTTTGCCCCTATTCCCAAGAGGCCTCAGCCTGCTGAGGTCAAAGCTCCCAGAAGACTCAGCAGGGTGGGCTTCCCATGCTAGCTCCGACAGCCCTTCCTTAACAGAAGCCTGGTTTATTATTTGTATTTATTTATCTATTTATTTATTTAGAGCCAGGGGCCTGCTGTTTGTGACCCTGCTGCCTGGGCCTCCTGGGCTTGGGAGGACGCCTGGGTAGAAGACTGAGTTTTACAGTATTTCAGCAGCCACAAGCCCATCTCAAAGCTGTGTGCCTCCTTCACACCTAAGTGCAGCCATGTGGACAGTTTCCTGTCAGGGACTTGCAAAAAGCTTGTTATTTCCAAAAGTCTCCCCATGGGCACAGCCAACTGGAGCAAACCCATTTTGTCCGTATCTCTTGCTTGCTACTGCTTGGAATGTAGAGGTAAGGAGTGGTGCTCCAGCTGCCATCTTGGGCCATGCAGATTGCGAGCCTCCCCTTCCATATTTGGGGAGCCAATTAGCCACTGGTTCAAGCACGACCCGGGGCTTCTCTCCTTGACTAGAGCAGGTCCCTGAGAGCCAGGGTGAGCTGATTCAGGAGGGATGCCCTATGCTCCCAGGAGAGAGACAGATGTGGCTTCCTGTTGGGGACGATTTGGGAGCAGGGCCAGGTGCACACAGCAGTCACTTCCTGCAGCGTGGTGGGCCTGAGCCCAGCCTTGGCAACACCCAGGGGCAGGGACAGGTGTCCAAGGGAGGAGGGCAGCCCTGGCTCCCCATGCCACCCCAACACGAGAACGTGTGGCTTCTAGCCTGGGTCCATCAGGAAGGAGAGGAGGGACAAGGGGCCCTAAGAGACCCCAGAGGGCTCCTCCTAGCCCAGGGTGGAAGGGATTCCATTTCACATCTCATTGGTTTTTCAGTTACAAAAGGAAATGAGGACGGCTGTGTGCGTGTGCACACATGCACTGCGCATGCGTGACAGCACCCACGTGTGTGTACTGGGGGGTCTGTGACCGCGCTCTGGCCCCCAGACTTGTCCCTGGGCTCCAGCCGCACCCCAGTTCTGCTTCTGGACCTTTGCCTTTCCTCGGTCGCGTCCAGAGATGCTGCAGTCTGTGCTCGGCGATTTCCGCGAGGTGCACACACTGCGCGTGCTCTGTCCGGCCCCAGCCTCGCCAGCCCCTACTTGCCTTCTAGCTGGCAAAGCAGGGCTCCCAGTCTGTCCCCAGTCCCGGGGACTCTGGAGGAGTGCAGATTGGCTGTCACCATCATCCCCGGGACCCACAGAGCTACCCATGGCTGAAGGGCTGAGGGACCCCACGCCCAGGACTCCTGAAGACTCCGGGCTCCCAGCTGGGGCGACTCACAGACTCTTCCGCTCGTAGATTTTCTCCGTCCTCTTCGCCCCTGTGAAACACAGGCCACGTGAGCAGGCGTCTGTGGCCCTGAACGGTGGCGCCTGTGCCCCAAGGACCCTGCAGGCTCAGACCGCGCCTGCTCACTTTTAGGAGTTTAGAGGGGTTGCGCAGGTGCTCGGCCTGCTCCTGGCTGGAGCAATTTCCTGGCGCCACTTTTTTCCCCCCAGTACTGGGCGTGGAGGCCAGGGTCTGTGCCCTGAGTCAGATACCCGACCCTCTTTTTTTTTTTTTATGTTGAGACAGTCTTGCTAAATTGCTAATTTGTCCAGACTGGGTTAAATTTGTAGCCATCCTGACTTGGCCTCGAAGCACACTGGGATCATGGGTGTGCGCCACCACGCCCAGCTCAGAGACCACACGAGTGCCAGTGCAACCAAGGCCCCCAGGGAACGGGACCGTGTCCTCTGGGCCAGCTCAGAGGCACCACCCCCTGACCAGGGCCTCCTCCCTTGGGCGTTGACGTCCCCCTTACCTGGGCGGGAGCAGCGCACGCACAGCCCGGCCATGGCTCCCAGTAGCAGCAGCAGCGCCGCCCCTGAACACAGCATCTCGGTTTCAGCGCCCATGTCCTTGGTGTCCCCACCTGCAACACTGTGTTCAGTGTGAGCCCATTAACGGCCTGCAGTCCCAGCTCTGGGAGGCTGAGGCAGGAGGATCATGGGTGCAGGGTTAGCGTGGGCAAGATGGTGAGACTTTCTGAAACGGAACAAAAGAAATGGCCCCAGCCCATGGCCCCAATCCTGGCTCTGCCCTCTGTGTCACACCGGGCCTACCCTTGGCCTCCAGACACCTGAAAATTGGTTTCCTTTTTCAACACCTGCGGGGAGGAGAGACAGGGAAAGCTTCCTGGAGGAAGTGGCTCTGAGAGCTGAGGTAGAAAAGGGGGCCTTGCCAAGGGGCTGCGGTGCCAGCTGGTAGGGGGAGGGGCTGGGGCGCCACACCTGGGAGGCTCGGGGCTCCCTGATGGCAGGTGGCATAGCTTGGGGAATAAATAGTCCAACCCTTTGAAGCACTCCAGAAAGAATCAAGGCAAACTCAAAAGAGACTCAGCCCTGCCTGCGCTGGGGATGGCAATGCGCTGCTGCAATTCCAGTATCCTAGGAGGCTGAGGCAGGGAGGTGGAAAATTCTAGCCCACAGTGAGCAACTTGGCAAGACTTTATCTCAAAATAAAAAATAAGCCCTTTGGCGGCCATCGCTGGAGTTGCAGCGGTCAAAATGAAGTTTAATCCCTTTGTGACTTCGGACCGAAGCAAAAACCATGAAAGGCAGCTCAATGTGCCTGCCCACATTCGCAGGAAAATTAGGTCTTCTCCTCTTCCCAAAGAGCTGAGACAGAAACACGATGATCACTCTATGCCCCTCTGAAAGGATGATGAAGTTCAGGTTGTGCGAGGGCACTATTAAGGTCAGCAGATCGGCAACATAGTCCAGGCTTACAGGAAGAAGTGTGGCATCTACACTGAATGGGGGCAGCGGGAATAGCAAGGGGCACAGCTGTCCACCTGGGCATCCACCCCCATGAGGTGGTTAGCACCAGGCTAAGACTAGACAAAGATCCTGGAACGGAAAACCAAGTCTCGCCAAGTAGGAAAGGAAAAGGGAAAATGCAAGGAAGAAATGATCGAGAGAAACAGGAATAAAGTCCTCCTGTGTGCAACTTTTTTTTCTTTTTGCGGAGCTGGGAATTGAACTCAGGCCATTGTGCTTGCCAGGCCACTGCTTATTCAACTGAGCTATCTCCCCAGCCAGCTCCATTGTGTGCAACTTTTAATTAAAAACTGCTGAAATGAAAAAATAGGGCCAGGGAGATAGCTCAGTAGCATAAGGGCTTGCCTGGCAAGCGCAGGGTCCAGAGTTCAATCCCTGGTACCACAAAAATAAACAAACAAACAAAAAATAAAATGAAAAAAATAAATAAAAAGGGCTGGGGATACAGCTCAGTGCAGAGGGCCTGGGTTGAGTCACCAGTGTGGAAAAAGAGAAGTGGAGGGAGAAGGAAAAAGACGCAGAGAGACTCAGTGCCTGGCCCTGAAAGGGGACAGAGTAAGGGGCCAGCCCTGTCAGGTACTGTGCAGCCCAGCTCTGCCCTGACAGACAAGGCGGCTCCCACCTCCAGCAGGGGAAGGAGAGGCTCAGGGCAGCCTCAGAGTGGAAGAGGGAGCTGCACCGTCCCCCTCCTGCCTGCATTCCCGCCTGCGTGGCTGGGCTGTGCCCTCCCTGGATGAGTGGCCCAGGCAGCTCCCCCTAGCTCACTGAGCCTCCAGAGTCACTGTGGCAAAGGTGACACAGAAGCCATGTGTGACATGGAAGCTGAACGAGTCAGAAGGGACCGGGACTTCCCCGCCCTGTGACTGCCACTCCCTCACCACCAGGTTCCTCTGGGGCCCTGAGTTCCTCTCTCACCACCCAGGGGCAATTTAATGCAATCCCAATCAAAATACCAACAGCACTCCTCGCACAACTGGAGAAAACAAAGAAGAGAAACCAGGAGGAACCTGGACTAGTGAAACAGCTCCGGGTAACAAAGGCAAGGCAGGGGCATCATGGTCTCAGGCTTCAAGTTTTATTAGGAAGCTACAGTGATTCCAACAGCATGGTACTGGCACAAAAGCAGACACATGGATCATTGGAACAGAAGAGGCAGGGCCGGGGAGATGGCTCAGTAGAGTAAGCGCTTGCCTGGCAAGCACAAGGGCCTGAGTTCAATCCCCGGTTCTGAAAAAAAAAGAAACAACCCCATGCATAAGCCCGGTATGATGGTGCACACCTGTAACCCCAGCACTCCAGAGGATGAGGCAGGATTGTTGTGAGTTCAAGACCAGCCTGGGCTACAAAGTGAGCCCAAGGCCAGCCTGAACTGCATAGCGAGACCCTGTCTCAAGAAGACAGACAAAAAGAATCAACAAATGGGATCACAAAAAGCTTCTGCAACACACACACACACACACACACACACACACACACACACAGAGCTTCTTCACAGCAAAGGAAAACAACCAAAACAGTAAAGAAACAGCCTAAAGAATGGGGAAAGAATGTTGCCAGCTGCTCTAAGGATGAACACCTAAAATATATAAAAAACAAAAAAATTGAGACCCCCCAGAAGAAAATACCCAATCAAAAAGTGGACAACTGAAATGAACAGACACTTCTGCCATGAAGAAATACAAGCTGGGAATGGTGGCACATGCCTATAATCCCAGCACTTGGGAAGCTGAGGCAGGAGGATTCTTGGGAGTTTGAGGCCATGCTGGGCTCCATAGTGAACTCAACGCCAGCCTGAGTTGCATAGTGAAAACTTGTCTCAAACAAGAATCACCACCGCCACCACAACAACAACAACAACAAAAACCAATAAAGCAAACAAAACCAAAAGAAGTAAAACAAATGGCCAATAAATAAATGAAACGTCCGACCTCTCTGGCCATTAGGGAAATACAAATTCAAACACCACTGAGATTCTGCTCACTCCAGAAAAAATGACTGTCTTCAACAAATTAAATACTGCTTGGCAGACACTGGGACCGGGGTTCATTCCCTGGCATGCCGTGTCATGCCAGCCCTGCCCCCGGGGTGCACTGAGACAGCAATTGAGACTGGGCATGGTGGCCTGCCTATAATCCTAGTGTTTGGGAGGCTAGGATTTTTTTTTTTTTTTCCGGAACCAGGGATTGAACTCAGGCCCTTGCACTTGCCAGGGAAGCACTTATTCCACTGAGCCATCTCCCTGGCCCCTGAGAGGATGCTGGGATTTATTTATTTATGTATGTATGTATGTATGTATGTATGCATGTAGGCTGAAAATAGGAGGACCACTATTTATTTATTTATTTATTTATTTATTTATTTATTTATTTATTTTGGTGGAACCAGGGATTGAACGGAAGCACTTATTCCACTGAGCCATCTCCCTGGCCCCTGAGGAGGACCACTATGAGTCTGATCTGTGTAGTGAGACCCTGTAGACCCTGTATTAAAAACATTTAAAAAAAAAAGAAGAAAGAAATTAAATAATAACATGTGCTGGCAGGGCTGTGGAAGAAAGCAGCCCTTCTCCACTCTTGGCATGTAGACTGGCGCAGCCTCTTGCTGTAGGATGCACTTCTTTATCTACTTTACCTGCCCAAAGCTTGCTCTGCAGAGCCTGTTTCTTCTGCTGCCTTTAATAAAGCTTTCCTACAATTAAAAAAAAAAAAAAAAAACACCCTAAAAGCAGAATTTCATTCGACCCGTTGTTCGCCTTCTAGGAATCTTCCTGACAGAGTTGCAGACACCTCACTACAGCGATCCCCGCACACCCACATCGAGGGCAGCACAACTCATGACAGCTAAATCTTGGGAGTGGCTTCTGTGTCCATTAACAGATGAACTCATAAAGAAAACGTGGTGTTTCTGTACAGTGGAGCACTACTCTGCCATAAAGAAGGAAAAACCTGAGTCCTTTCAAGTAAAGTGGATGCCCCTTAACCACAATGCTCACTGAGGTGAGCCAGGCACACATGCTTAATTATTATGGTTTCTCTGATATCAGAAACCCAAAGTATAAATAAAGAGTAGAGTATCTCTGCTGAGGACCAGCTTGATGGGGTGCAAAACAGGCAGTACTGACATTAATAAATTGGCATCGAGGGGCCGGGGAGATAGCTAGTAGAATAAGCGCTTGCCTGGCAAGCGCAAGGGCCTGAGTTCAACCCCCAGTTTCGTAAATAAATAAAGAAATCGGCATAATGTCAATAGAGAGTCTGTCCTAGGCCTGTGTGGCAAGGCCTGCGGCTGGTGTGGGGGTGGAATTAACCCTCAAGCCAAAGGCTGGGGCTGAGGCCAGGAAAGGGGCTACAAAATCCTGATGTCCCAAAGAAAGAGAAGCACCCCTTCAGGGCGTGGTGGTGCACGCCTAATCTCAGCACTCAGGAGGCTGAGGCAGGAGGACTGCTGTGAGTTTGGGGCCAGCCTGGGCTATACAGTGAGACTTTGTCTCAAAACTGAATGAATAGGGGCTGGTGAGATGGCTCAGTGGTCTAAAGCACCTACTTGGAACAAGCTTAGCAAGGCACAGGGACCGCGGTTCGATCCCCCAACACCACATGCCAGCCAGCCCTGCCCCCTGGTGGGCTGAGCTCCCCCCCATAAATAAATTAAAAAAAAACTGAATGAATAAATAAATAGATGAATCAGCAGCACAGCCGAGGACTTTGTAGCTCACACCCAAATTTCTCTCTCCCAGCTCAGTAGCTGGGGGGGGGGGCAGGTAACTGGGCTACAAGTGAACCACGATCTAGTCCAGGGTGCTTTTCACAAGAAGGCGCTGTTCCTCAATCCTCGAGCCTCGCCTGCGTCACCCGCCCACCCCCGCAGCTTCCTGCAGCCACCAGCACACCCCCAGGGTAGACGTGCGCCCAGGGAAGGCCGGCGGGGCCTTCCTCTCAGCCCTTCTGCTGCTGTGCCTGCCCACATGCCTGTGCCTGCATTAGCGGCGTAGTCTATTTCTCTGCTCCCTCACACCCCGAGCAGGAGGCCGGGGCCCCGCAGCTCTCCGCGTCCCGCTGCCCTCACTCGGCCCCAGGGCGCCGCCAACTGTGGTCTCAAAAAGGAAAGAGCGAAATAATAGATCCTGGGAAACAGAAAGAAAACTCGTGCACAAGCGAGAAGGGGACCCAGAGATGGAAGGCCGGGTGGATGGGTGGGGAAGCGGGGAAGCGGGAACCGAAAGTGAGAATTCAGGGCAGTTACGTGCTGTGTGTGTGCGGCAACTGCCCAGCGTGAAGAATCCTGACATGCTGCAAATGCGTGCTAATCAGATAAAAGGGGATCCAGCCTGCCATCCCACCCCTCTGGAGCTTGAGTCAGGAAGACTGGAACTTTGAGCCCAGCCGGGGCAGCTGAGTACCTTAGCCCGACCCTGTCTCAGAATAAAAATAATAATAATAATAATTTTTTTGAAAAGGGCAGACCAAATAGCTCAGTAGATTAAAGTGCCTTCTTAGACAGTCGCAGGGGCTGAGTTCTATCCCCGGGCCTGCTGGGCCGGCCCTGCCCCCCGGGAGTGCTGAAACAGCGACTGAGACTGGGCATGGTGGTGGGAGTCTGGAATCCCAGCTCTTGGGAGGCTGTAAACAGGCGGATCACTAAGAGTCCGATCCATGCAGTGAGACCATGTACAGCCTGTACACCCTGCCCGAATATATATACATATATATGGCTGGGGGTGACTCAGTGCCCCAGCTCTGGGCTGGAGGCCGGTTAGGATGGTGAATTCTTTCTGCTGTGAAAGGCTGAGAAAGGCTCAGACACAGACGGAGTGCGGCCCAGTCCCAGCCTCCCTGTGGGGTGTGGAGACCCCAGATCAAGAGACAGGATGGCCCCTTAGGGGACGTGCAGGGCCAGGACCTGGGCTGCTGCTCAGGGAGAGTGGCCCTCGCCCAAGGACAGGTGGCTGATGCCCACATGTCCTCCTGCCTGTCACAGGGGTTAGCCTCGGCCTTTGCTTGGGCTCTTGTGGGACCCAGGAGCCAGGACCCCACAAGGGGCTGTGGCCCTGAAGAGCAGGTGTGATCCAGGGTCAGCGCCTCAACTCCTTCAGGGACCCCTTCCCTGGGGCCCAGAGGTGTGTCCTGTGTCACAGGGTCATACAGCAGCCGAGACGCAGGGCAGGGGTCAAAGCCAGGGCAGGCAGATACCAGATGCCATGCTTTATCCCTCCCTCTTGTCTGTCTCTCTGTCTCTGTCTCTCTCTGTCTCTCTCTGTCTCTCTCTGTCTCTCTCTCTCTCTCTCTCTCTCTCTCTCTCTCTCTCTCTCTCTCTCTCTCTCTCTGCAGGGTCTCATTATGTAGCCCAGACTGGTTTTCAATTCGCTATGTAGCCCAGGCTGGCCTTGAACTCACAGCAACCCTCCTGCCTCAGCCTCTCAAGCAGTGGGATTACAGATGTGCAGCACCACAGCCAGCCCATGCTCCTTTCTAAAGTTAAATTTGAAAATATGTAGCTCTAGCAGCGAGCTACATCCCCCCAGCCCTTTTCTTCTCTGTTTTTCTTTGGTTTAGTTTTTGAGACAATGTCTCGCTATGTACTTCAGGCTGGCCTTGAACTGGCTGGGTTGCCCAGACTGGCTTCTGCCTTGGCCGGCCAAGTGCTGGGCTTACAGGCTTATGCCTCCGTAGCTGGCTGACATTTCCATTTCTTTTTTTCTTTCTGTCTTTTTTGTGGAACCGGGGATTGAACTCAGGCCCTTGTGCTTGCCAGGCAAGGGCTTATTCTACTGAGCCATCTCTCTGGCCCCATGACATTTCTGTTTCTTGAGGTGGCACCTCATTCTACGACCGAAAGTGGCCTCAGTTTGGGATCCGCCTGCCTCAGCCTCCTAAGCAACTGTGATTAAGGGTGTGCATTACCCTGCCTTGGCAGTCATGGAATATTTGGACCAAAAAGCCCTGGTGCTTACTGCTGGCTGAAGCAATTCTCTGCTGTCTCGGTCTCACTCTCACAGGTGGAGAGAGGTGGGGAGGGAGGCTGTGCCCGGAGAGGGCCCCGAGGGCCAGGGGGGTTGGGTGGGAGCCACAGCCTCTGCTCTGCGGCTGAAATAGCTCAAAGGGAAGTGAGCAGTTTTCTTATGAGCTAGGCTTGCAGGAACCACTGGGGAACTCGCAGGCCCGGCCCAGCTCTGAGCCCACCCAGGCCCAGCAGGGTCTCAGGCCCAGCGGGTGGCAGGGGCCCGTGGGTCCCAACCACAGCCCACAGCTTCAGGAGGCTGGTGAGGCCCCGCGAGGGGCCCAGTGACCCAGTGGCCGCAAGGACCAGGAGGAACAGGGGCTGGAGACCCCTGTCGCTGGAGCCCCAGGCTGCCAGCATCACTCCCCTTGGATTCCTGTTGCGAGCCAGAGGGACTGTGGCCTCCCATGTCCCCAGAGCTCCCCAGGCTGTGCCTTGGCAGGGCCGCCCTGCAGCTTCCAGGGCCGAGCAGCTGGATGAGGACAGAGAGGACGGAAAGTGGCTGGAACTGGGAACAGACTGCCCCTGAGTGCCAGAAGGTACCAGGGTGGTGCCCTGGGCCAGCGGGGTGGGGGCCAGCAGGCAAGGAGTCACAGGGCGGGGACCAGCGGGGCAGCGCACAGTCGGGACCCTGGGGGGGCTCAGGTGCTGGGCCAGGCTTACCTGAGTCCGAGTCCTCACTGAGGCCGCCCCATCCCGGGACCTGCGTGAGCCACAGCGCTGCTGCCTCCAGAGGGCCGCGGGCAAAGCTGCAGCTTCCTGTCACCACTGAATCACCCTTCACACATCCGCCACCGGACAGGCCCAAGCCCGCGGTGAGGGGGGAGAGCACACAAGCGTACAGACGCACACCGAGTACGCACGGGCGCACAAGTCACTGGCTGGTGCGGCTGCGCGCACGCTGGTATCCCAGCGCTCTGGGAGGCTGAGGCAGGAAGGCTGCAAATTCAAGCCTAGGCTGCAGAGCTTAGTGACTTAGGGAGATCTGGTCTCAAAAAGAATAAAAAAGGTCTGGGGTGGGGCTCGGTTCGTGGGGTTTGTGGTCATTTCCGAGTAACATGCAGTACACAAATGTCACACACACAGGCAGGGGCGCGCATGAGGGGCAGGGAGGAGGGATGGAATTGTGGTGTTCACCTACACACAACAGGCAGCGCGCAGGAAGATGTGGAGACCAGGCACAGACACGGGGACAGTGACACACAGGAAAAGGACACCGTCCAGGGCATCATGGTCCACACGGACGGTGACACAGAGATCAGGGCCACATGGTGCACACAGCGAGAGGCGAGGACAGAACAGGGCGGCCGGGAGAGGAAGGCGCAGGGACGGCTGGGCACGCAGACAGACGTGGAGGATGCAGGACGGGGACGGGAACAGGCTCGGGCCCCAGGGCGGAGCGCGGGGGGCAGACAGCCGGGCCCGGGCGGTCGCGGGAGCCTCTGCGCTCCTCGGCGCTCAGGGCCGCTCCGGCGCGCTCGGGCACAGGTGGGTGACAGCGCCCCCGCCGCGCGTGGGCCCCGCTACACAGCCTGACCGAGGGCATGAGCCCTGGGTGGCGACCCTGCCCGGACGCTAGGCCGTGAGCCCCGGGCGTCCGCACGAGGGCTGGCAGTTCGGCGCCCCCAGGAGGGGGACACCGCGGGAGCCCGACCTCCTTCCGCCGCTGGCTGCGCCGCCCGCTGCTGCCCCCACGTGGGGGAGGCGGGCAGCGCGGCCCCGACTCGGAGCAGGAAAGAGGACGCGGCCAAGGCCCTCGGTCAGCCCGGTGCTCCGCCGGCCCAGGGCGCCCACGGCCCTCCGCCGCCTGTGTCCTCACTCGCGCTACTTTTGGAAAGCGTGGGGGTTTACGGGAGAAAAGCTCCGCGCCGCATCTCAGCGCAAGACCCGCTTTCTTCTCCGCGGCTGAGCTCAGGAAACTTCCTTTGGACGTCCAGTGGCCGCTGGGGGCGCCTGCGGTTATGTATGGGGGGGGGGGTTGGGTGGGTAGTAGAAATTTTGGCTTTTGCCTGTGCTGCCTCCCTGGCTCATGTTTCATTTTGAGACAGGGTTTCCTTAAATTGAAGGAACAGGTGACCCTCCTGCCTCAGCCTCTGCTGATTTTCACCATTTAGGAATAAAACTAGTATCTCAATTCTGAAGCCTTAATCTAACAATTCCTTGGTTGCTCGTGAAGCTATGCGTCTTCCTTTGGTTTTATTACTTCTGGTGTCATGACCCATTCGTGTTTACTGGCCTTGTACTTACTACATAGCCTACACTGGCCTCCATGTCCAGGAGATCCTCCTGCCTCAGCCTTCTCAGTGCTGGACTACAGGCATGTGCTGCTACACCTAGTGTATATAGGTTTCTAACACTGTTTTGATTTTCCTCCTACCCATGAACAGGAACTCTACACGACTGCTCTTTTTATTTTTTGGCTTGTTTTTATTTTTTTTTCTTTCTTTTTAAAAAAATAACTTAAGAACAAGGAAAAAGAATCTAACCCAAGGAAGGGGTTAGGACCTGAGCCTTGGGAGGAAAGGGGGGAGAGGCAGAGAGCGGAAGGTCCAGAGAGAGCCGATGGCCTGTCTGTCTCACTCGACACAGAGAAGGGCATGGCCCGCAGTCACCTGCAAGTGTACAAGGAGCTCATGGGGCCGTGGAACAAAGACCAGGTCAGCATCACCGACGCCATCTTCGTCCAGAGAGACCTGAAGCTGGCCGAGGGCTTCATGCCCTACTTCTTCCGGCTGTTCAGGACCACGGTCGAGCAGGTAGACTTCACGGAAGTGGAGAGGGCCAGGTTCATCATCAAGCACTTCATGGCCTCTTGTGTGGTTGTCTGAAGGGCTGCGTGGGACATCAGATCAAGGGGACCCGGAGTGGAAGGCACTAGTGGCAGGGTGTGGGGGAAGGAGTGCCGGGTCAAGGAAGGAAGCTTTTGTTCTGCTTTGAGACAGGGTCTCGCTATGTAGCCCAGGCTGGCCTCGAACTCAGACACAGCGATCCTCCTGCCTCTGCCTCCCAAGTGCTGGGATTGCAGGCCTGTGCCACCATGCCAGGTTGCATGTTTTTATTCATAAATTGCCTTTTCTCTTTGTTTTGATAAAGTACACTTAATGAAATTTAGTTTCATTGGCACTTGTTTGCAATACACAATGATTACTTTCACTGTGGGGAGCTGGCACATGTATATAACTTTTTTTTTTTTGCCAGTATCCCATTTATCTTTAATGTTTTTTTTTAAATTTTATTTGTGTGTATGTGTGTGTGTGTGTGTGTGTGTGTGGCCAGCTCAGCCCACCAGGGGGCGGGGCTGGCTGGCATGTGGTGCTGGGGATTGAACCGTGGTCCCCGTGCTTTGCTTTGCTTAGCTTGTTCCAAATAGGTGCTTTAGACCACTGAGCCATCTCACCAGTCCCCCAATTTATCTTTAAATCTTTATGAAGTTAATTATCATAGACACAGATTAAAAGCCAAAAACCATATAAAACAATTATATTAAATCAAGGTGCCAGGTGTGGTGGCCCACATCTATAATCCTAGCACTCTGTAGGCTGAGGCAGGAGGACTGCCGTGAATTCCAGCCTGAGCTTCATAGTGAAACCAGTCTCCAAACAAACAAACAAACAAACAAATAACAAAAACAAGAAATCTTGGCCTGGAAATTTGGTCAGTGGTGATACTCTAGCCCTGGGCTTGGTCCCTGCCACCGCACACGCGCGTGCGCGCGCACGCACACACACACACACACACACACACCCCGCTAAAACCCAAGGTATATTTTGAGACGCAGTGGATGCACCGGGCATGCTGCATTACAGTGACTTTTCCCCCCACATTGTCTAGTGCCTCTTTTATTGTGCACTTTTTGCACTTTTTTTTTTTTTTTTGGTACCAGGCATCGAACTCAAGACCTTGGGCTTAACAGGCAGGCACTTAAGACACTGAGTTATCTCCCTGGCTCTGCACTCATTTCATATATTGGGATTTTTAAAAAAGAAAATTTTTTGAGGGGCTGGGGAGATAGCTAGGTGGTCCAAGTGCCTGCCTGGAAAGCACTAGGACCCGAGTTCAATCCCTGGTAGCACATGCCGTGCCAGCCCCAGAAACCGTATGGTCTAGAATCCTGTATCGTGAGACACTGTGCCAAATAAAAGAATTTAAGGAAGAAAAAAAATTTTTTGAGACAGGGTCTACATTTATACTTCAGGCTGGTCTTTATTTATTTTAAAAAATGTTTCCTTTATTTTTTCCTTTTTTATGGTCAGCACAGCCCACCCTGAGCGCGGGGCTGGCTGGCATGTGGTGCTGGGGATCGAACCGAGGTCCCTGCATGCTTGCCTAAGCTTGCCTAAACGGGCGCTTTAGACCACTGAGCTATCTCGCCAGCCCCCAGGCTGGTCTTTAGCGCACCACGTAGCCCAGGCTGGCCTTGAACTCACAGCCATCCTCCTGTCTCAGCCTCCCAAGTGCTGGTATTACAGGTGTACGCCACCATGTTTGGCTCTATTGGGTTTTTCTTAAAAAAAAAAAAAAAAAATTGTTAGGGGTTAGGGCCAGCTGAACAGCTCAGCAGGTTAAAGCACCTGCAAGCAGGCGCAGGGCCTGGGGTTTGATCCCTGGGCCTGCAGTGCCAGCCCTGCCCCCAGGGTCTCCTGAGACTGCAGTTGGGACTGGGCATGGCGGCACACCTGTAATCCCAGCTCTTC